AAATATTCGTAACAATAATATAAAATATATAAAATAAAAATGCATCTGTAATGTACAAGTATCCTCAGAGACTCGTGAAATGCAACATTTTTTTTCTTTCATTACATAACGGTTTTACGTCGCATCAAGCAACTAGGTTATCAGCGATATTGAACTTTGGTTATGAACCCATTGTGCCTCGATTTTATTTCTTCGATAAATTTGAGTAGATTAGATATTTCGTCTTCGTTAAAATATTTCGTTTAACGAGGAAATGGAGCATGACACGAAATTTAATACAGTTTTAACACGAAGAATAAAATTTTACTCAATTTGAGAATTTATACATTTTCAAAGCAGATATAATTTTATACGAAATTAACAGGAGGCTGTTAATAACCAAGTACATAATTAAATTACACACGAAATGTACCGTTTTAAATGGTTGCAAATTAGTTTGAAAAACATATCCAAGCACTATATAAATAACAAAATAAAACAATATTTCAATACGAACAATGCGTTACATGCTTCACTAAAATATATACTTTTAATCGAATAAGACGTATATTTGTTAATCAAATTTTACTCAAAGATTAGCGATGTATTTCTTAACTTTTGTCGACAAGTGCGCACGCACTCCGCGACAAAACGATAAGACGAAACTACGAAACGTGTACGCAACTTGGAACAGAGTTCCAGCCAAAGCCGATAACGATTTAAGAACGATTATTTTCGGAATCTTTTCAAATCGCCGTCCGAACGGTTACATACTCGCCCCCTCGTCTAGATTGTTTGTTCGAACGAACCCGAGGCACGATCGTTGTTATTTCTACGTAGAATGCTTTCGCGAGCGCTGGTCCGCGGATCGTCTTCGAGGGCGTATCCGGTTACGCCGTTTCGAAAAAGGGGTTGAAGTAGCACGGCGGAGAGAGGCCGGCATCTGCCCGGCTAAGAAAATACAGCGCAAGAATCGTCAGGATGATTAGCGAGAGGAGGCCTCGTCCCCGGTTCTCGTAACAGTTTCTCGGGGATTAAAACCTCGTCCACCTAGCAGTCCGTCCTCCTCCGCCCCTGTCCGGCACGTCGAAAATAGCCGATTGAATTACACGCGGCGCGTGCCAGCCGGCCGCCACCGTCACCGCAGCACACGGCCACCATTCTCCTGGATAAAGAACGTAATAACTCGCCATCCGATTGCTATCTTGTCACATCCGATGGGATTTCCGACCAGCAGCAATATCCTTATTCGCAAATCTCCACGCCCCGGGGCCCTAAGCCGTGGTGCACGCGCCCGCCAGCCGCCATTTTGTCGGCTCCTTTAGCGGCCACAGCACGCTTGGTAACCCGAAATTCGTGGTATCTGTTCTCTCTCGGTTTCAAATGACAAAGACGTATTAAGTTTTACCTACTGGCTCCGAGGACAGCGCCGAAAATAGCGCTGATAGAGTTTAGGCGAATTTTTCACTTTTTTGTTTTTTTTTGTTTTGTGGACGTCGGTGCACACCGCAATCATCGGATGCACGGAAAGCGCAGGCTTTGTAATTGCATGTGTTCTTGGACTTGATAATTTTGGTCTCTCGAGCTCTGTTAATTATCGTTACTAATTATTTGTTCATTTGTGGTGATAATATGATCGCGAGAAGAATCGTAAAAAAGGAACGATTTTGGTACACTTGCTTCTATGCGATCGAGAATTGTCCAAGTTGAACGAAATTAAGAACGATTGATTTTGGTTTCTTTTGTTTATCACTTTTATGGCGATAACAACGCAATAAACATTAGACCGTGATTTTTACGTACTTTTTTAATAGGCGTAGCAGTTAAGGGTTGATATTAAAATCACCGAGAATTAAAACTGACTGGCGGTGTCTTGCTCCATGAGAATAACAGAACTGAATTTATATAATTATTGTTTATATAATAATCACCATATTGTTATAACGTACGCATAGATTAAATATTATGTCGATTTATCCCGGGAACACCCTGTATAATTACATAATTTTATCTTGCATTGTGAATCAATGCTGAAGTAGAAATAATGTTCTCACCATTGTACACATTTTTATAGCTAAAATAGCGTGATTTTTACTCGCACAATTTTTGCTAATAACCGTAAAATATAAATAACCATCGGACTAGACGATTTTTATGTAAATTAAAAATTCCCCGCGTCAATTTGCAAAAGCAGCACTTAAACAAAACTGTGTACCCACTCTTGACAGTTTACACAAATTCAAACAACACGATATGAACACCGCTTAACGATGAATCATCGGCAATGATCATTGAACTAGGCAAATATTGATTTCGCTAGCTCTTAGCACCGGTGTCTGAAAAATAGAATGAAACCGAAACACTAATTTTTAATCAAACAGAATGATCATTGAGAAACGTTAGTCTCGGTGTAAAAATACGCGAAGACAATCAGCATTGCGAGGACCGCTGACGCCACGGTGGCGTCACGCGAATTTCAGCGGTTAGTGGCCGCTGACGCCACGCTGACGTCAATTGTTCTGCCGGCAGATTGCAACATTCTAACTTGTAAGATTAGGTCTTTGCATTACACGTTGCTCTGCGTGCTAAATTTATGCATCGGTATTTCGACGTTTATAGGAAAAGTTTTATGGTTTTATTCACGGAGATTGCCAACGTCTAGCAGAAATTGGTCTCGATCGTGGTTCACGATTACATCGTTAACGGTAGCGAAAAATGAATCATTGTGAAATAGTTCGTTTTCGTGCACAAAGCGATTTATTATTTGAATATAAAAATTCTGGTTTTAATTGATTTTAATTGACTAAAAGATTCGATGAGAAAACGTTTAGTGAAACAGCGTTAATTGCTGATATTGTTTCTTCGCGGACGATCGGTTAATAATAATTTACCAACGAGTCGCTCGATGTCGCATTGAATTCAACAATGTCTTACAATCTTCCCTTTTTCTCTGATAAATGTTGTCATAAGTAAATTCTAATTAAAAAGCTAACAATTTCTCGAAATTCGTAAAAACAGTAAAGCAGCTCTGGAAATTAATTCTATCGAGAATTGCCAATTTTTCGGACACAATAACCAATAATTGTAATAGTAAAATAAATTAATTGTTCGATCATCAATCGGTACTTTGATTAACTAATTAAACCGTTTCGCGTTAATTGCAAATGTTCATCATAAAACACTCGATCCGTTGAAAATGAATGAATGCAATACGAGTTCAACTTTCGTTGATTGTTCTATTAAAGCTTAATTCACACTGTTCGCTAGCGTTTTTTTTAAATCGCGCGTGATTAATTATTTCCATAAAAATACAAGGTCTTCGTGCGAGTAATCGGGCTGCGGCTAGTTCAACGAATAATCAACCAACGATTTAAATCATGAACGTCTCGAATTATTGGAAATGCAGATAGGCATTGTGTTGCAATTCAAGAATGAGGCAAGCTCACTTACAAGAACCTGTAATCGACACTCGAGAAATAACTGCGCACGAACGGCATACTGTGGAGCATGACCCACGTAAATTAATCGAATCTGCATTTTATAGTGTCTCTTTTATCACAATCATAGCGACATAGTAATTCTCTCTGATCTTCTGCGATCTGTTCGGAGCGAAACATTCGTGGAAAATTTAGCTACGAAAACATTATCGCGATCAATCTAAATATGTTTCGAAGTTACCAAAGTCTCTAACGGACGATCCTAATCGATGCTGGAAATAATTTCTGTTTAAAAATCGAATTATACGAATTTATGTTGAATTAATAGAATTACAACGTTTCCGCAATTGCTAAATATCGCGATAAGAAGCAAAAAAAACAGGAATGATTTGCAAAGTTTGCACAGTCGATTTTATCTGTTAAGAATCGCATTCTTTTGTCCGTTGGAAAATTTATTAGCGAAAGAGCTGGCGGCACTAACAATTGCCGTGAAATATTATATTTCTGCAGTTTTCAAATTACCGATCTTCTGTTTTTTATTTGCGTTCGCAAACCGGTCCAAATTCGACTGAAACTTTCCCTCCGATTATTATCGTCGTTCCAGCAATTCTCCGTCCATTTCCTGCACGAGTTTCTAACTATAATATTGCGCTATGGTGGCCAACAGGTTTAAAGAGAACATGCTCTCTTTCGCTCTTTTTCTCAAGATCTTTACCACCGTCGGATTTCTAATATTTCTCGATTCCGTTAATTTCGATTGGCCCAAGTTGAAATTGTAATGCGAAACCGAGCTACGCGGAAGCTAACAATTTATCAAACTTGAATAGCTTCGATCGAACGATATTAACTGCCAAAGAAATTGAGGATGCATTTCTCGCTTCGAAAAATATCGTTGCGAACGCATTCCGACTGATAACCAGAAATATTCTCAAACGAAAATGTTAACAGAGCCTGAAAAGCTTTCTTTCTTCTTTCAAAGGGGTAGAATATTTTCAGACGGTGTTAATCAAAATCTTGCATTTTCTTTTTGTCTGCACACGACTAAAACATAAATGCAGACAGCGTATTTTCAGAGATGTTCACTTTTCGACTTGACTCAAGCATGTAGCAATTTACGATTACAAAACTATTCAATTCATGAAAAGAAAATGGTGAAGACGCTCATCGAATTATCTTTAGCAAAATTTTATTTACCGCAATCACGACTACGGTTTCTCTGCGCAAATTTATGCGATCGTTGAGAATACTTGAACAAAGCACCGTTTTCAAAATGCTGCCCATTTTCGATCTCAACACCCCGTGTATCGAGAGGGATAGCATTACGAACGGCCCCGGCGTCTAATTGAAGTTTGATTAACGTTCGTTTTATTTATATTGTTGAATAGAGTCGGGATGAGTGATGAGGCCAGTATCGGAGAAACAGGCAATTGCGCCAGCATTCTGGAATTGCTTTAAAGCATTAACTCGAACGTTGCACAGAGGTATACAACCCCCCAAGATGGCTGCTCCCGGGCGTATCGACGTTTGGCGTTTGCAGGGTTTCCCAGAGGTAAGCTCATCGGAAATTGTGGGTCTTCCCTCCCCTGGCATCGCCCCCGCCGCTTTTGCTGGCCCTTCAAAACAAAGAAACACACGTAATTAAATTTTTGTTCGGCACAAATTAATGCGCGTGTCATGGCGGCGCCGGCGGTCGCAGCTGCAGAGAAAGTTTAATCCAGGTACCCCCGGCTTTCAATCGAGCTTCTCTCTGTTCCCTTCTCGCCCCTCATCCCTTTCTTTCTTGCTTTCACCCTTTCCGCAATCGGCGCACCTCCCGTTCCCAATGATTTCGAAAATCAGAATCTGTCGCGCGAACATTTTTACAATGCGTTTATCGCGAAGCAGCAGGAAACACAAACGTCCAGGTATCATCGCTGATAATCTACTTTGTTCGCAAGTTATTTTGCCGTGGATCGATAAGACAAGATTAATTTCTGATTCGTTCGCAGCCATTGTTTTGCTCGAGTATCACACTCTCGAGCGGGGATTATCAGATTCGCAAAAATTGTTGATTTTCACGGTGCAGAGTTTGATGGGTCTGGAAATAAACTTTACCAGGTCACTGTATCTTTTGTTTTGATACGTTGTTATCATCGAGCCATACACGCGCGCGCGCGCGCGCACACATACACCCACGTGTCTTATCTTTCCACCACGTCGTACTAGATAAGCAGTAATATTGTATATACGTGTAAGCAACAATATTCTTGTAAAAGGTTCGTTCGTCGAATGCAAGTAGCAAAAACAAGAATTTATTACGCGGCACAGAGAGTATATATATATATATATATATATTGTATGGACATCCGACATATTCTTCATTTGAACATGACGAACAAGTGACAATATTAAAAAAAAAAAACAGATTTCATTGCATTTACGAAATTAGTTTATTGTTTATAATAGGTGTTTCCATTCTACACGGGACAATTCGCTACAATCTCGCGCGTTTATTGAAGATCATTCGGTAATTCTAGTAAACATAAAAACAGTTTTTTTTTCATTAAAGCAATATGATTGTACATATCACAATTAAATTTCGAAGACTCGACGCGTGTTCCGTTCGGTGCGCACGTCTTCGCTAATATAAAAGAAAAATAACGTGCGTACAAGTTCACACAACATTTATTTCTCTATGTATCATTAAATAGCATGTGCTCTCCGCATATAAAAATAGAGTATTCAACTAGACTATGCTGTAAACCTCTGTACAAAATACACTTTTCAGAAAATTATTTACAATTTGTGTGTGTGTTGATTTCTACATAAATTTACTAAAAACACCTCCTAACATCTCTTGTCTAACTGATCCCAACTCTTGGTTCCTCCGGATGTGCAACACGGAGCCCCTGCAAATGCAACGAGAGAGCCACGTTAGAGACTCGTTACGGAACTGTAATATAAAAAGCAAACTATGAAACCTGGGGCCTCACCTGTAACATCTGATAGTGGCCTCCTTTCACGTCGTGCGACTCATTCTGCTCGGGGGTCTGATTAATTAGAAGCGTTGCATTTTCCACGTCCAGTGGACCAAAAGCCCAACCTCCTTCCCCGTCGAAGCGTAACAGGAGTTTGTGGTATTTCGCCAGCGAGGCCACGCGATGGGTAATCGTTAGCAGCGTGATGCCTTTCTTTTTGGCGGTTTCGTAGATGACTCCTTCAGCCTCGAGGCTGACCGCACTGGTGCACTCGTCTAGAAGCGCATATTGCGGCGCATGATAGAACAACCTGGTCATAGCTAGCCTCTGCTTCTCGCCGCCGGACAGAGTCGAGTCCCAGTCGCCCATGGCGTCCAGTCCCTCGGACTCTCGTTCGACGAGACCCCGAAGATCGACCTCCTCCAGCAGCTGCAGGAGCTCTTGGTCGGTGCATTCCTCCGTCAGAGACTCCGCAGGGTAGATGATTTGATCTCGCAGACAACCCACCGTCATGTAAGGTTTCTGGGGGATATAAAACAATGCCGGCCTTCCGCAGTAATTCTCCGGCGGCCTGATCAAGGTGCCACCGTAAACTGGCCACAGGCCAGAAATTATGCGGTACAGCGAGCTCTTTCCGCAACCGTTGGGCCCAGTGATCAGTATATTGTCGCCGGGCTTTATCTGCAAAACCGTATACTCTTTAGCATTCGGAGACATGTCATTGTTTAGAAATCGCTGCTTACATGAATCGATAGCTTCGGCACGATAACTTCACAATTCGGTGTTACTATCGGCACGTCGATTAAGCATATACTGCCATCTGTACTTTCTTGCACGATTCCTGCGGGAAGCATCATCTTGTTTAAAACACGACGCTCTTCTTTGTACTTCATGAAAGCTCACCTTTTATCACCGGTGCTCCATCCTGGAGTTCGATTATTCTCTCTATCGAGTTGTTCGCGTTTCCGTTCGCTATTTTCGTAGGACTATTAACAATATTTCTTCTATATTTACATAACGCGGCGTCTTTAAATACGTCTAACATCTCACTGACCCTTGCCGCGTAACCTGCCAGTGCAACTAATTCCTGCAACGATATAAAGAACCGTGAGTATATATATTTCAGCACAATATGTTAGTGGGACCGGAAAGAGTAACGTCGTTTCTGCGCATATTTATCTGTTTGAATTGAATGTAAACAAACGACATAACTTTCCGGTCCCCCTGATACAATGGTATCGCGACCAGTTTCACGGGTTTCTTACTTTATAGGAAGACATAAGTCTTTCCACAGCGTCTGCTCCAGAACTCAAGAGATTTTTTGACGTTGTCAAGTATCTAGTCCTTTCGCTTACTGCGCCTATCATCAGAAAAATAAGTTTCACGTTATCATACGTCGCCGTTCGAGCATGCCGAGACGCTTTTGTACCGCGTGTACGTACCGTCGCCGTCTTCGGCCATGGACGAAGGTTTAGCAGTGACCGCAGTGTAAAGGACGGGCAAGGCGATAACTAGAAGCCCGGTGCCGGACCACACGTATTTCATGAGGAACTGTTCCAGCATCACGTACCACAGTTTCAGCGTCAACACTCTTCTCAAATGTGAAACTAGAGACTTGTACGCGGTGGTTAGATACCGGTGTTCCGTACAATGTCCACCGTAAAACGCGATCTCCTCCGCGTGCGCGCTAATGCGAGCATGAGCCTCTCTCAGCCGTCCACGTCTAGAGGCTTCCTCGGCGACCAGTTGACCGAACTTTGGAGAAGCGAGACGCAGGATTTGCCCGGTCAGAGCTATCACTGCGGACGCCAACAACGGACCTGAGAAATGAACATTACAGTTAGACAACGGTGTGTGTGCAAGTTTGCCTCGTTTTGTATTTCTAAGCGTTCCTCTTCTTACCTTGCATTCTCTTGGTGCCCATTTTAGACGAGAAAGACATAAGCGCGATGACCACCAGAGAACAGTCCAGCAAGGGCTTGGTTAAGCTCGAATACAAATGTGCTACGGAACCAGCTAGTTCGGATAAATCGTCTGTCAGTCTTTGCTCAGCACCGCCAAGTCTATTATCTAATGCTGCTACTCTATAGTAGGTTTGTTGACTCAGATACATTTTGTAGGCATGCTCCACCAAGCGTCCCCTTCGAATACAGAAAATTATGTTTGTAAACGATTCTGTTCTTATATATTAGTGTACAAGATTTTATGACGTTTTCGAGTAAACAAGAAAACGGGCATTCAAGAGGTGTTGAATATGAGAGCCAAGGATGGTATGGATAATGATGTGCGGGTGATAGCGACGGTTATGATGATTTTATTAATGGAGATTATGACATATGTTAACAATGATTGCCTTACGGTCATGAATTGGTACATTGTATGTAATAAATCATGGACTTTACTAGTCCTTGTGCGTACAACCAAAATTCAAATATTTTAATTCAAATATTATTTATAATATTTTATAATATTTATATATTTTATTTGTATGAAATATTTAATTATTATTTATTTATTAATTATTATTTATTATTATAATATTTAAATATTTAATTAAAATATTAATTAAATTATTTGATTCAAATATTTTATACAAATCTTTCTTCCACGGAACGTTAATATCGACGCAAAGATGCGGAAGGAAATAGGAGCCGGTCATTTGCGACATTTTGTCATGAATTATTAAAAATTACAATAGGAGAACTGTAAATAACCGGCGACCTAGTTGTACACACAAGAGCTAGTTGAAAAAAAGTGTTACACAGTTGCTGTAGAATTGTAAGAAAATATTAAAAAAAATAAAATGAATCCGAAGACACCAGAGAACAGGATGAAATAGACGTCTGCCATGGAATCGTAGAAATATTTTCTCAGTCCTCTAGCATATTCAACAGGAAATATGACACACGTTGTCCGGAGCGTTACACAATGGAATCAAGTTCCGTAGCACCTGCCAGGACGGATGTACAGGGTGTCCGTTCGGGGACATACCTAAAGCAAAGTGCGAGCCGACCCTCCAGATATCGAATGGCCGAATTGACGAAGGTCGCGGGCAGAGCAATGGCGAACCATCTCGCCATCATCAAGAAGAAGCCCTGCACGTCTTTCAGCACGATTCTCTTGACGATCTGTCCCTCCAGCGTGGCCACGTAGACCGAGAGGAAGGTCCTCGCGAGCAGCGTCAGGGTGGCGCAGGTGAGCAGGCCAGCCTCGCGCGTCCTCCATCCTGGCACCATGATCTTCAGCAGCGCGATCAGCTGTTTGAAGAAATCGCGGTCCAGCCCGACGCTGGACTTGCCGGTAGGGCTAACGGTAGTTCTGCCGTTAACGGCATTATTCCCGCGCCGGCGGCTCGAAGAATTCTTGGTCGCGCTTTCATCTTGCTTCTTCTTCCGGCTCTGTTGGTACTTGTTGATCCCGGAAGCCACCAACGGGTAGCCGATCTTGAGCAGATAGAGCGTCGTCACCAGGCTAACGACGCCGCGCGATACGTTCTCTTGCCTGATGCCGTATTTGGCGGAGGTCTTGTCGAGCAGCTTCGAAAACACGGACGACATCCTGCCGGGGGCACGCTCTCATTCGGAGAGCGCCTCTCTGTGTGTCTCCCCGTGGCACGATGCGCAGTTCAGGGCTCCCGCGAGCCGTTCGAGAGAGCGAAGTTTGTTAATGGAAACGGTTCGTCATGTCGCGGGCGCACTCTTTCTATCTCTCTCTCTCTTTCTATCGGCGACGATATAACCAGCCCGGCGGTTCGGGCGGGCGTCCGTGTGTTGTCGTCGATCACGCCGGTGGCTAACACGCGAACACGACGTACGCACTTAACCAAGAAACGAACCGGCACACCGCAGCAACGCGATCCACGTAGACCGGCCACCAGCTGGCGACTGCTCGTTTCGTTACGTCTGCCGGCGCGGTTCGTGGCTCTCGACGCTCTCCGTTCTCTTTTGGGCCCTCTCCGCCGCAACAGGCAGCCGTGTGACTGGTTGTCTCGTTGTCTGTCTGTCTGTCTGTCGTTGGACTTGGACCCGAGCTTGTCGCCGCCGCCGCCGTCGCCGTTGGACCGCGCGTCATCCGTTTTCTTTCGTGGTCGTCTATTGTGTTCCTAGGGACCGCGCGTCTTTTAAGTTCCACGTTTACTACACCGCGGAAAACCGTGGAATCCGTCACCGAAAGCAAATTTCTTCTCTCGGCTTCGTCGACGGACGCGTTCGCTGCCTGCGTGACTCACGCAAGTACGCATCACGCGGTAATGTAATCGCGCTGTTCACGCTCCATGGTTGCTCGTTTCTACGACTCCCCTTCCCCCCCCCCCCCCCTCCCCCTCCCCCCCCCCCTCCCCCTCCCCCCCCCCCTCCCCCTCCCCCCCCCCCTCCCCCTCCCCCCCCCCCTCCCCCTCCCCCCCCCCCTCCCCCTCCCCCCCCCCCTCCCCCTCCCCCCCCCCCTCCCCCTCCCCCCCCCCCTCCCCCTCCCCCCCCCCCTCCCCCTCCCCCCCCCCCTCCCCCTCCCCCCCCCCCTCCCCCTCCCCCCCCCCCTCCCCCTCCCCCCCCCCCTCCCCCTCCCCCCCCCCCTCCCCCTCCCCCCCCCCCTCCCCCTCCCCCCCCCCCTCCCCCTCCCCCCCCCCCTCCCCCTCCCCCCCCCCCTCCCCCTCCCCCCCCCCCTCCCCCTCCCCCCCCCCCTCCCCCTCCCCCCCCCCCTCCCCCTCCCCCCCCCCCTCCCCCTCCCCCCCCCCCTCCCCCTCCCCCCCCCCCTCCCCCTCCCCCCCCCCCTCCCCCTCCCCCCCCCCCTCCCCCTCCCCCCCCCCCTCCCCCTCCCCCCCCCCCTCCCCCTCCCCCCCTCTTCCTCCCTCCCTCCCCCCCCCCCCCTCTCTCTCTCTGCGCTCTCTCTCTCTCTCTCTCTCTCTCTCTCTCTGTCTCTGTCTCTGTCCTCTCTCTGTCTCTGTCTCTGTCCTCTCTCTGTCTCTGTTCTCTCTCTCTCTCTCTGTTCTCTCTCTCTCTCTGTCTTTCTGTTTCTCTTTGTTATCGAGACGCCTAGCCGGAAGATCGCGCGATTCCCGTGAATCAAGATGGGCGCGCAAGTGAAACTGAACTGTAGGGTACCGGATTGCTTTGCGCTAGGGTTGCAACTCGGCCCGAGCTATAGACAACGGTGGAACTCCGCAGAGGTACAGTCGCTTGGAAAAGTAGCAACGGGAACGGGCAACTACTGCTTCAAGCATCGGGAACAGGCCTGATTAGGTTGGTGCAAAGATTGAAGCGTTTCACGAATCATTCTTCCGATCGATCTTGCTTTTTTGTCACGCTTCTTACGGATCAACGCGATGCCTGTTTACAGCCTCGTCTATCTGCGTTGATGTTTTTTGCGATTTTTTTATGATCCAAGAACCTCGAAATTCCATGTACGGCAAGTATTTAATCGATTTAACGATAACCTTAAATGACTGGGTTATGCGAGGTTAATCGTTGCGGACAAGCATTCGTGAAAATTACGACGGTGAATTTGTTAATTGATATATTTGGAATTAGCGTGATTCAATGAGCAAGCAATTTGTTCGGTTTAACAAGATGCAATTGTTGGAAGCATCGTTTTTTTTAGAGAGGTTAGTTATCTAGGGTTAAAGTAGCAACAGCGAGTGCAATAATGTTTCTATTCATCGACACGTCATTTGTCGGTGGTGATTTAATGCCTTTTTGTAAGCCGATCATTCACAGCTGACCTTTTCAGTTTCTCAATCAGTTATTTACTTGAAACGATAGCCGTTGACCAAAAAGTCGTCTCGCACGCAATCGCAAATGAAATTTTGTTTTGCAAAGAGATACCGATACATCGATTGATTACATGAACCGTTGACCATTTCATGGCAAAGGAGTACGAAGTAAAGTAACAAAGTAAGATATTTTGACAGAACTATTTGAACTGTCTGTTCGTGGTTGTATTTTATCGATCAGTTGGTCTAGTTTTGGCTTTAAAAGCAGCTTTCAATTTTCTTGGCACGGCTGCAGTGTGGCACTGCAGTGAAAATACAATTTAAACGGTAAGTGTAAAATGTTGGAACAATGATCCGCGGCAAGAATTTGCAAAAGCAAACTGAAATTGGAAAATAGCCAAATTTTCAGTTCTGATTTCGAGCGGCAAACATTCTGCACGATAAAGGTCAGTGTATGGTCTAAATGTCTATGATTATTTGATAATTTGGAGATCTTTTTAATTTTGGAAATATTTAAAAATATTCGGTACAATCACAAAAATTTAAATTTCAACAACACATACATCGGCGTTTCATATATATATATTCATTTCATATATATATATATATATATATATATATATATATATATATATATATATATATATCATATATTTCATACATTTCATACATCATCGACTTGTTCCATATATTTTTGGCTAGGAAATTCCACAAGAGTTATTCATAAAAATTAACTAAACGTGTCTGACACTGGTTGCACGTAAATTTTATTATTTATTATTTATTTTTCATATACAGTCTATTAATTACTAAATATTAAATATTATCTATATTACTAAATAATTAAATATTATCCACCAACATTTTAGCAATTAAAGCCGCATATTACGATTGAGCCCACTACCCACACATCAACGGCAAAGAATGCGAATTCGACAGGAAGGACGGACGGCGGTCAAACAAATCGCTCTGATTTTATGGAATTTTTATAAGCTCGACGCGGTAAAACGGTGCTAAAGCGTAAGCATGAATTTCTCAGCGAATTGATAAGTTCTATCGCAGCTGGAATCGGCAGCTCGCTCGATACTCGGAACACATGGCGCATTTGTGGATCAAAGTGCCGCTACTTAACTGTATCCGCAACCTTCCACTCCTCGCCGCGGAGATAAGATTATACTTGCATGTGGATTGAACATGTTATTAGGCGTCTCGCGGATGCGACTCCCGCGTGCGTGCAGGTTCAAGTTTCTTTGTCTTCTCTCCTTTTCCTTCTTCTTCTTATTGACTCCTCCCACCCCCGCTTTTGCGCCATCTTTCCCCCACTTTTACCGCAAGAGAACACGGTTAAGGGCGAAATGTCACTGTCACACAGCCGTGCTGGACGGATTCTCAGGGTTTTCGGCCGCTCTGCTGGCATCCAGTTAATTCTTATTTTAGGCACAGACGTTGCACACGACTTCACTGTTCCTTTCTGACCGCTCTAATGGGCGAATACCATTATTAGTTGCCATAGGAGCCCTCCGTTTGCCGAAGACAGAATTTATTGTCAAACGTGCTATATATGCACTAATAAATATACTACTACTATAAATAATAGTATATATAGTATATAATATAATAGTATATGTAGTATATAATATAATAATATATATAGTATATAATATAATAGTATATATAGTATATAATATAATAGTATATATAGTATATATAATACTATATACTATAAATAATAATTCGAAGCATAATATGAGCCGTTTATTTTGAAAGTGGCATAAGTCACTTTGTTTTGAAGTCGATATATTTAACGGTTTGCGTTTTAACACGTTTAAAAATATGGATGCTAACTTTCGAGAAGATTTACTTGTATTTGTTATCTCAGGATACTGATATTTTTCTCAATGTAAATAATTTCGTATAAACATTAAAAAATCACCCCTTTTCATTACGGTAAAGTGACTTAAGCCACTTTCAAAATAAACGGCTCATATATCAGAATAACTATAAAACGTTTCTTAATATTTT